TTTTGCTTTATAAAGCTATTTTGGCTCCTTGTATCTATGGCTGGCGTGCCCGACATAAATATATATATATATACATATCATGTTCACGATCGCCCTTCACCCGTCTTCCTTCCACTATTTTACCGCCACTTGTTACAAGCACGCGGGCTTCACATGTGGGGGACTTTGTTGCCCTCCTACCTTGAGACCGCCTCCATGCCAGTCGTACCTTGCCACCAGGCCACGCCCCGCTCACCCAGCTGCTCTGGCTGGGGCGAGGAGCACGTCCCCTGCAGCCACCCCTCCAAAACTCAGTGGTTGGGCGTGTCTGGGGCTCATGGCCTGCCGACTTGACATGAACCTGTGGCCCCGCTGAGAGGTTGAATGAAAGGTGACAGGATGTGAGGCGAGCGCTGCCTGCCACCAACTCGACCCCAGCGGCGGCGACGGGGGCGGGGTAACCGGCTCTGGCTTCATCATCTTGCTCGAGCAGCTAAAATGGCGGTGGTCAAATCGTGAGCGTGAAGCGCATCAACCGACCAAAATGTCAGGTCATCCAATCAAATACCAAGTAGCAAATTGGAACAGCATGTCGCAAACACCATAAAACTACCAAAAAACCTCTTGCAATGGTTGTGCCCGGTAAGACCTTGTTGGGACAAGCATCAGCAAAGCAAAACTTGGGCAAATATGGCCCAAGAGTGACACGGTCTGGGTCAACAAACTCAAATGCAAATGGACACATCAAGGAAGCTAAAGGAAGCCACTGGCAAATGCGCCAACTAACTCTGTGGAGGTGACAGCTGGATCGCAAGTCCTCCTAGGAATTTTAAGCATGCCCAGAATGAGGGCAAAGGAGCACCTTCTCACTAGTGGGCATCTGGGCTAGGTGGGACCGAGTCAGTCTCTTCATGTTGATGTCTTGCCATTATGTGAGGCCCGCTGTTCTTTCTCTAATATTATGTGGTACGATTGTTTTGCGCTCAGCTGTCCAGACTCCGGACTGAGGGGGGTGCACAACCCTATGCGTAAGAGGAAGACATTGTTGTGGCAGGAATGAATGCACCCCGCTGCTGACACTGACAGCATCTAGAATCTAGAATACAGCGTAAGAGACAAACCAATTGACGAGGACCCTGGGGAAAATGCTGGGCGGCTTGCGATCAACCCGGAACTAAATCAGCAACGAAGACGATGAAGTTCAATCATTTATGCTGCAAAAACCCAGTACTATCGATTGGATCTCGTGCCTCCCCAAGTAGTTCCATATGACCCAGCTGAAACACCCATCGCCTGCGAAGGAGGCACATGATGCACATGTTCAAAGGCTTATCGTGGTGATCGGCCGTACATCATGCTACTCTTGAAAAGACATCAGCTACCAGTAGCAGCTACCGATCATGTGTATTTTGTATATTCAATGTATTGCATTTCCTGTCCTGCAATGAACTCCGGCTGTCTCCATCTAGGGGTGCCAGAGTGACTACATGGTACTAGAATCTCTGGAGGTCTCTACCAGTTTTGTGGCCAAGTGGTTGAGGGGCACCTTGGGTTGATCATCTGATATCAGCAAGCTGCCTCAAAGTTTGTCTATGGAAGCCATGGACGTCAGACCAAGCCCGCGCAAAGGCATCGAACTCATCCAAGGGGTTCAGTGCCATGTCTCTGGCGATGTCAGCCTTAACGAAACATGACGTGAAGTGCCATCTCAAGGGCGCACCTACCTGACCTACCTGGCACCTCCCATATCCAAACAAAACAACCATAGATCGTCAGCTCCTTTTAACCTGCTGGGGTGGAACTGCGGGCTCTGGTCTTAATGCCTGGATCATGAAGGAAGCATATATATATATATAATATGCATAGATCACCAAAGCTGGGGAAAGGACGCGGGTCCACCTCTGACTTGACTGTCGCAGCTCAACAAGCTGCGGTTGAATCAAAGAAACTCTTAAGAAGATGGCATCCGGACTCGCAATGTCCATCAAAATGTCTTCTGGGGCAAGTTGACAAACCTCAGCTCACCAATTTCAGCATACAGCTGTGACAGCTGTGAGCTGCAGTTTTTCACAGAAGAAACTGCTTCTAGAGGGACCTTTCCGCAGTTGTCCACTTTCCGACTTTTCTCCTTCATTGACCCTTGCCACTGGTCCCTGTAATGAATCACGGCCCCTTCCCTTCTAGCAGAAACACTTTTAATCTGCCAAGCGTCAAGGTAAGAGAGAGAGACACACCTGCGATGGAAGCATTGATGGGCAGCTTCCCTGAGAAAACTCCAAGCAGTTCCACACGGCAAAACACGACACAGAAATGACATATTAGATTCGTTAGATTGAGCAAATTGGAGCCTTAGGCTTCCTTCCCTTACACATAATCAGACTTTCCCAGCTCAACCGTGAGCATTCAACCTTCTGCCATGGTGGAAGTGGGAACCTGCCGACCAGTTGCCAGTGTCCCAATCACTTGGGCCGAAGCACGGTGAGTCCAGCAAAGCAAATTGCAAAAGATTTCCACTTGAAGAATCCTTCCTTTCTAGCAGACACTTCTTAATCTGCTGATTCTGAATCGAAACCCTTGAGCAAACCGAGGAAGATTCACTCTGCGCTTTGCCTCGGCGTTGTTCTACCATGTTCTACCATGAAATCCGAGAAAAGGGTCTCCAAACTTTGGTAAACTTGAACAACTTGCCCTGCCTCAACTGACTTGTGGACAGCTGCAGCATGTGAAGCACCACTCGACGGCCTCCCGGTCATGAGAACCTAAAGAATGGTTGGCATACGCTGGCATCGATGCGCCCTGCAACAAAACAGAACTCACAAAGCAGCGCGTTTGGGTGAAATGCCTCGCAAAGGTCTTCCCAGAATTGCCACGTCCTCCGTTGCTGTTGCGCGGCCTGGCATATTCAGACTGGTTGCCCAATGAATGAATATGCATCTTGGATCATCTTCGAGCGTACATCGAAACATATCGAAACCAGTCCACGAAACCGTCCTTGGTCTTTATTTGAACTGTGGTATGATATCATGGGCACAGGGAGGGAAGTGCTAAAACCAACGGCCCAAAACGTTGCTCAAACCAAAGCCATGGGCAATCATGAACCCATGGCCATCCCATGGCCTTGCGGTGAAACGCGTCTGCTGCTTCCAAGGTGGCCAATGCCCTGAACTGCTGCACCGATGGCTGAGCAGGCACGTTCCGTGGGGGATCAGGGACAACCCAACCCAGGAGTTGGATTTCCACTGCCATTGGCGAGGCGTAGCAGCAGAGGCAGACAGAAAAACTCCAATGTTTCTGTTTGGTGGATGACGGTGCATGCGTGCTGCTGCAAGATAGCGTACTGCAAACATGGTGCATGTGTGCTGCTGGCGCATCCTCCGATTGAGCTGCAAACATCGATTGCAATGACAATGAGAATCGCCCTCTATTCTGGTAGCATCTCAGTCTCCACTTAGAGGCAGTTCATGGATTGTCTGGCCCAGTTCACGTGACAAAAGATTGAAGTCAACAACAGCTGGACGCTCCGCTGTTGCAGAGTGAGTTTTGAAGAATCTACAATACATGCATCACTGCATCACATTGTGGCCCCAAACCACCGCACGTGCGCTTTGCGTGCCTTTTTGATCAAACATTAGTCGCATTAGCTTTCCTCTGCGCAGCATCCACACGTCCACGCGAAGAGGCGGTGTGCTGTTCAGATGCTGTGAGACCACCACCAGCTTGGTCATATTTGAGGTAAAGCGCCCTCTCAAAACTCTCGTTGCCTTAGTGCGAAGTCACAGAGTTGGAAATCAGATCATAGACATATATAGATCATTGAACCAGTCCGTTTCTCATCCTTTCTCACTTCACCTCCACACGCTGTGCGACCGGTCAGAGTCTTGGCTCAGGCACTGACGCTGACACTTCCGGTGGTCCAGAGCCATGGAAAGGACGCCCTGAGGAGATGCTTCCAACGTGTCTTCATCATGATTGCCAATGACCATGGGTTTGGACGCCGTTCTTCCACTCTATGTCACTGTGCTAACTCATGTCACCTGACGAATAGGTTGATAGATGTTGATAATGACAGAAGTGGAGGTGCCAGGTGGTGCCCTTCTTTAAGCCAGCCAAAACTCTCAAACTTCAACCTTGGAGTCCACCATTAGTTGGCTACTTCCACTGCATCACACCACTGGGACTTCATTTGAGCAGGCATGTGCTGAAGGCAGCTCATCAATCCAAACAACGTGACAACTGGATCTACCACAGCAGGAAACTCTAACGGCGGCCTGCCTGATTGAAAGGCATCCGAGAAAGCTCTGCTGAAGAGGATCGCCGAAAGCGTTGACGTCGTCGGCTTACACGGTCAGCGTGAAGGGCATCAACCGACCAAGATGTGAAGTCATCCAGTTCGACAAGAAGTCAAAGACCTGGCGCCATGAAGTGTCCAATGCGGTACGTTTAGCCAACGTTACATCCAACAAGGTGGGTGTAATTGAACCGTAAGCATGAGAAATATTAAGTGACAAATTGGAACAAAATGTCACAAACACCCCCAAAAACCTGTTACAATGAGTGTGCTCTTGTGAAACCATCCAGAAAACAAGGGGCCACATCAGGCATCAGAACCACACACGGTGCGAAATCTGCCAAGATGTTTGCTGATTGTCTACTGGGTCTACCATGTTTGGACCCCGCTGATGTGACATGTTCATCGGGGGGAATCGGCCATAGCAGAAACAAGCAACCACCCACCAAGCGGCGTGTGAGAGAGTGCCACTTGCAGCTTCTGGAAGACCCCCAGTTCCACACTGGAATCTGCTCCTCCTAGTTGCCTCCAAGAGCGAATCACAAAAGGAAAAACAAAGCAAACAGATTGAAGATTGACCAAATCATACCAAAGCCTCCTTGTGCTAAAAACCCGCAGTGAAGAAACACTTGCCTAGGCAATAGTGAACAGCCTTCCATATTCTCCACCCTATGAACTGGGAGCGGCAACTTCCACCTTACCAATCCCAATCCCCTTTGACCCATGCACCATCCTCACCTGGCCGCCAAGCACATGTTTGGCTGAAACCCAGTGGCTGGCCTCGAACTTCAAAACATATAAGCCATGAGCATGTTTCACAACATGTAGTCATCGAATCGCATTGAAATGCACTATCATGCCACATTCCTTCAGTCACTCGGCCTTCACTGGATCCTTCTGTTTCGACACGGTGTTGGGAGGGAGAGGACCGCCATGGATACCACGGCCTCCTGACGGACTGAGCAGCGTCCGAGTTTGGCCAAGGACTCAGTCCGTGACCCGACAGTGACTGTGCCTGTGATAGGCCTTCCGGCATGAAGAAGTCGTCCACGAAGAACTCGACAACGATTTTCCAGGAACACTTGGCTGCCGTCAGTACCATTACGATGGTGGGTACAGCAGATACCACGGAGGTCAGCGTCGTCGACGCTGCCGCTGCTGTGGATGCCGCAGCTGCGGTCGATGCAGCAGCTGTCGCCGCCGCGGTTGTTGCAGCGGCCACGCCTCCGGCCGATGCCGCTGCTCCAGGAGCTGCTGCGGCTGTTGCTGCAACCGCAAACGCACATTCCAGCAACATAGCTGAACGGCTGAAGTTCCAACTAAAGACAACATTTCCGACATGAAACCATTCGAAGTGGTTGTCCATGGTTGTCCAGTGCATTGCAACAATGCAATTTTGTGTGATTTCCCGTGACAACACAAGTCTCTTGAGCTGACTGTGCTGCAACAATCCGTTTGCTGGAAGTTCGGACACCCCTTAACAGCTAAGGGGCGGAAAAATAGACACCCCTTGGAGGGTCCTGGCAAGCTTGCAATATCTTGCATTATCTTGCAATAGTAATTAAGCTGCATGATCTCACATCTGGCCCCTTCGGCAGAGACGAGCGAACTGCCTTATTTTCAGCTGCCGCGAGCGGCGCAGCTGCGGTCGTGCCACTTGCGTAGCTCATCCCTAGCTCATCCCGCCCATCACTGGCCCGAAAGCTGGCCCCAAGGCTTCGGTGCGCGAAGGCGACCCACTCAGACTCGACCACTACCACGATGCCGCCTTCGCCACCTGCGATGTGCGATGCCACGCGCGGTCCATCAGCTTCAACTCATGTCACTATGCACTATGTCATGATAGTGAGAAGAGGTGCAAGTCAACCACTATCACTGATAGATGATAGCGAGAGAAGTGGAGGTGCCTGGAGGTGCCTGGAGGTGCCTGGTGGCGCCCTTCTTTAGTTCACCTAGTTGGCTACTTCCACTTCATCACACCAGAAAACTCGAACGGCGGCCTGCCTGATTGCGTCCATCCGAGAGGTCAGCTGCGCTGCAAAGGATCGCTGAAAGCGTTGACGTCCAATCGGTGGTCAAATGGTCAGCGTGAAGGGCATCAATCGACCAAGGTGTGAAGTCATCCAGTTCGACAAGAAGTCAAAGACCTGGCGCCATGAAATGTCCAAAGGAACTGGTACGTTTAGCCAACACATCCCACAAGGTGGATGTAACAGTAAGCATGAGAAATACTAAGTATAGATCTAAGTGGCAAATTAGAACAACATGTCACAAACAGTTGTGTTCGGTGAGACCTGGTTGGGACAGACATCACACAAAGCAAAATTGGGCAAATGTGGCCTAAGAGTGACACGAAGTGGTCAACAAACTCAAATACAAATGGATGTACACATAAGGGAAGCTGAAGGAAGCCATGGGCAAGATACCAACTAACTCTCTCCACGTTGAGGCGAAATGTAGGCATCTGGTCCAGGTGGGGCCGAGTCAGTCCCTTCATTGTGCGAGTTTTTTGCGCTCAGCTGTTCAGACTGAGGGGGGTGCACAAATCTTGTGCGTGAGAAGAAGACATGTTACTAGATTTATGTTAAGCAATGGCAGCCATACATGACCAATCATCAAATAACCATATTTGTGAACAAAATGCGAAAATAAAGCGAACACAATGTGAAAATAAAGCGAACAATGTGAAAAAAACGCAACAACACGCGCAAAACTACATTGCTGTTTGTTTGCTCTACTTTTGCTGTTGTTTTTTTTGCTGTGTTGTTGCTTTAAAATGTTATTTTGGCTCCTTGTATCTATGGCTGGCGTGCCGAACGTAATACTATACATGTTGTGGGAATGAATGCACCGTGCTGACAGATCTGACAGCATCGACAGCATACAGAGTGCGCAAGAGACAGAGCAATGCGAATTGCTGATAATTTATAAGTCTGACAAGGGCTTTTCAGCCTGTCGCTGCACGGAAATGGTTGAAGAGGACCCCGGGGAAAATGCTGGGCCTTGCGTTCAACCCGGAACTAAATCAGCAACGAATCAAGACGATGAAGTTCGATGCTGCAAAAACCCGGCACTTTTGATTGGAGCCTGGCCTCCCCAAGTAGCTCCACTTCGTCCAGCTCAAACACCCATCGCCTGCTAAGGAGGCACATGATTATGCAATTGTAAAATACGTCAGCTACCAGTAGCAGCTACCGATCATGTGTAATTTGTGTATCCAATGGATTCCGGCAGTCTTGCGGTCCATCTAGGGTGCCAGTTTTGTGGCTACATTGACTACATGGTACTAGAAGTCTCTGGAGGTCTCTACCAGTTTTGTGGCCAAGTGGTTGAGGGGCACCTTGGGTTGATCATCTGATATCAGCAAGCTGCCTCAAAGTTTGTCTATGGAAGCCATGGACGTCAGACCAAGCCCGCGCAAAGGCATCGAACTCATCCAAGGGGTTCAGTGCCATGTCTCTGGCGATGTCAGCCTTAATGAAACATGGCGTGAAACAATCTCAAGGGCGCGCCTACCTCCAACATCCAAAGCACAAAGCCTCTCTGATCCTCCGTGTTTAATATAGATCCTCAGCTCATGTACGATAGGTTTTGCCTCAGCTCATGCTGCTAGTTGCTAGTGAGTTGCCTGGTCTAAATGGTTTGGGTCTTTTTGGAACCTCGAATTCTAAGAGGATGACCGAAATGATGACCCCTGGGGCGAGGACGTGACCGGGGCAACGGAGAAAAACCACCCGCTCTCGACCGCTCCGAGCTCCGAGCTCCCGTTGGATCAAAGAAACTCTTAGGAAGATGGCATCCGGGCTCGCAATGTCCATCAAGACGTATTCTGGGGCAAGTTGACGAACCTCAGCTCACCATACTTGCAGCATACTGCCGAAGAAACTGCGTTTCACGGAAGAAACTGCCGAGGCAAGTCACCGTCATTGACCCTTGCCACTGGTCCCTGTAAGGAATCACGGCCATCCCTCCTCCCCCCTTTTAGCAGAAACACTGTTCAATCTGCCAAGCAACAAGGTATGAGAGGGACACACCTGCGATGGGAGCATTGATGGGCAGCTTCTCTGAGAAGACTCCAAGCAGTTCCACACTGGAATCTGTTTCTCGCAATTGCCTCAAATGAGAGAAGCCATGAGAGAACAATCAGATTCAGAGCACATTGGAGCCTTGTGCCTCCTTTCTCTAATTCATCATTCAGATTCATCATCTCTCATGTGGAAGTGGGAACCTGCCGGCCACCTGCCAGTGTCCCTCCCTAGGTCCCGATCGTGGCCGAAGCACGGTGAGTCCAGCAAAGCAAATTGCAAAGGCGGAGGGATCCCGGCATTGATTTCCACTTGAAGAATCTTTGGTCGCAAACGCTGAGCTCGACATTCCTTGATGATCGGCCCATCATAGGAGTCGATGTCTACCTCTGCCCAACGCAGCTACACATTTGGACGACACAAGCGTCTCGTGAAAGCCGCTGACCAACAGTTCACCATGAGCATGGCATTCTGCAACTATTAACATGTTAATTCATATATCAGTATATGTGCCTCCCAATAAACAAATAAATATATATATATATGTTGACATTCTTTTTCGAGATGACTAATTACGTGAGAGTGTCTGTTCGGGAAATGACTCACTCCTCTTTTTCACAAAACAGCGGATCGGACGGCGTGTGGCGTGCCATGTGGTGCAGTGCTGCATGTGCCTTCAGAACATCGAGGTCAGAGCGCGCAGATGGCGGAAATCCGGACAAAAGCCTTGGGGGACCAAGAAGGAAAGCCTCTTCTTGTGGTTCAACTCTCTCTCTCTCTCTCTCTCTCGCTTAGCTCTCCAACTGAACCTCCACTCTATTCCACATTTGCCATCAGACATTCTCGTAGCAAATCAGCGTCATTCTGCACACATATGCACAAGCAAGTAAGCTCTATTTTGCAGATCCAGTAGCAGCTTCAGATTCTGAGTCGAAACCCTTGAGCACACCAACTTCACCCAAGGAAGATTCACTCTGTGCTTTGCCTCGGCGTTGTTCTTGCCAGCCGGAAGGCAGCACAGCCAGTCTCTGTATCCGCCCGTCACTCTAGGACACCTTCTCGACGAACCTTCCCACGACTACTGGTTCCTAGTAGCTTCTTGTTACTACTAGTAAGGCACCTGTTACTACTAGTAAGGCACTTGTTACTACTAGCGAGGCACTTGTTACTAGTAGCTTCCTAGTCCCTGCTGCCTTCTGACCAAACTGTTGATAAACTTTTGGGTCGATGACACCAAGACCGAGCTACACACAGCTCCTCGTCTGCCTCAATGGCCAAAGCCCCTCCGCCGGCCTCTGCATGCAGATGTCGCGGGGGAATGTTGCGGGGAATTGTGAGGATGTGTCAATAGGAGTTTCCCTCATCATCACCAAGGTTTAGTAGGGCTCAACGCTTGCACAAATGTCCAAGCGTCGACTGCAAACAAGAAAACTGCCCCAATCAGCTGAGCAAATCTCCCATCCATAAGTCTCTGTGTGCCCTCACCGCGTGCTTTGCACGCCTTCACTTTCTCGGAGCGTGCATAGTGTGCCAGGGGATCATCCGAAAGGCCATCGTTGGCGCCAATGTTCACGTAGCTGCCCGACAGCATGGTTCCCGCCTTTTCGATCGAAGAGGGGAGGCGGCAGCGGCAGCATGGGCGTGGTGATCGTGGTGCAATGGATGTTAGTCAGGATATCATAGTACGGCAACGGCGAGAAACATATCTCTGGGCTTGGGCTCCAGTTTCGTCATTGACCAAATATATCCCAGGTCAATGGACCAAACCTGGAGGAGTTTGAGGGACACGAGAGAGACTCCACTCAATTGTGATGGGTGGCCCTTGGTTGTTCACCTGTCCTTCTTAGATTCTTGATGTCCCTCTTGTGAGTCTGGTACGTCTTTCACTTGCCAAGGTGCCGTCTCCAGCTGTTCCAAGAAGTAGCTCACATTCTGTGAGATCTGCCTGTCGAAATTGATCGAACAAATGTTTGTTCAAGGTGTTTTGTCCATTTTTGTCGACTCCAATCTTCCTGTGTCGATTACCTCGCTGGAAGGCTTCTTACTGTCGTGCTGCTGAAGTAACTTCCTACAGCTCCAAAATAATCCTGAAGAATGCACTACCTCATCAATATCATCAATTCACTCACCATCAACACACCTGTCTGGCTTGAACTCCTGGCATCTTTTCCTCCGACGCCCGAGGTACCTGCCTTGGTTGGTCCAACAACTGAGTCATAGCTCAACAGCGCTGGCCTCTCAAAGGTCGGTGACCTCGTGACATGGCGGCGGCTTCCAGCACGGAAGCGATGCGCCTTCCTGCAGCTCGAAAACGGCACTCAAGCCATCCACCGGGGGTCGTATTCCCATTTCATGGCATGATCATGCATGCATTCATGCTGTTTGAACAAATGGACGTGCCTCAAAACAGTCTAGGTTTTCGCGCTCATCCGCGCCCAACACGCTCATCTTCGCCGTCAAGCCATCCCTGCCGGTCTCTCCCCATCATATTGCCTTCTCTCCACGTTCCGATGCCGGCTCGCGTTGCCGCGGAACCACCGGAGCGCTTGGTGGATGTCCTGGCAGCGCTTACGCCGACGCCGTGTCCGCGACTCGGCGGAGTTCGGGGAAACCAATCCGCACTGCCGGACCTCCACGGTCTCCGCCCAGGGGCTCCGCAAGGATTTGATCTGTCCTGCGACGCCGAAGCAAGCGACGCCCGACGTGGTGGGGTGTTCAAACCACCTGAAAAAGCATCGAAGACACTCCATGCGTCACGTGACTCGTCACTCCTTTGGGTAGAATATATGCTTCTGGGTTGACCTTGGTCAATGCCGCCAATGCCCACATCTGACGGCACAACTTCTGTTCCATTGGCACCCAGCAACGATTCTGAGCTCATGTCATACCCTTCAAAGCGCTGGTCTGACAAACGGGAGGCGAACGCTGTTGTCCTGGAAAGTGCAAGGCTAATGTCGCCCAGGCAGCATGTGCAAATGATCGCAAACTGCAACTCGTCTTGAACCGGTACTTCAGCCATGGCATCGCTACTAGGAGCTACTAGCAAGGACGCTACTAGGGCTCCTGGCATTGCTATAGGGCTCCTGGCCTTACTACTGGGAGCAAGGACGCTACTAGGAGCTTTTTTGCGCGGGCTGTATTTCAGCCATGATCTCGACACATGGTGCCTGGCTTGGTTTCCAAACTGCTCGCTGTGAGGACTTACTGGGCCATAGTTGTCCCTGCCTGCCACCAACCACCACATTCACCTGCACCAGGCGAAACAACGACTGCCAGCATCGGAGGCCGTGTCACATCATGCTCACATTCCTAGAACTGGAGCTTCAACATGGCAGCTCTTTGGCAGCTCCGGGCAATGCTTGCAAATTGAAGCGGCACCTGCACTGCGTCGCCGGCCATTTCGGGCAGCCAGAAAACCGCGTCGCATGAGCCGCATGAGAACGCGGCTAACGCGGCTAAGGCCGGTTCACGAGCGCTGACCGGAGATGCTGCTCCACGTCTCCCGATGTCACTGGTAAGACTTGAACCCTGCTGGTTTCTCTGCTGGTTTCTCCGATCTTCTCCAGGGCGATTGAGTGTCGAAACCTGTTTGAGTTGAGAAACCTGTTTGCATCTCCCAACCGCCGGGGGGTGAGACGCGTCAGGCGTTGGAAAACCCGAGGTCTGCGGGGTCCACCGCCTAAAGGGTCACGACACGGGCAAAGAAGGGGTCACTGGTGCCGCCGACGGCACAACATAGGCCTACTCAGAAAAACCGCCCCATGGTTTGAGTCTACTCCTGTGCTGGTGGCCAAGCCAATCCCGCCCAGCCAAGAACATAAAGATATGATTAAGATATGTAATTCTTATGCATCGCCGTGTGCTGGAGCAGGTGCTGCATGCTGAAACCAGCACATCAGGAACAACCCTCTCATGGACTTTGCAAGAGAATACGTAGGTCAAACCCAGATCATCTAGATCCGTTGTAGCAACATGTCGTTGGTACTGTCGTTGGTCAACATCAAGTCAAACACAACAACAACATCCCAAGGCATGCCAAGACATCACGGCGAGACGCCATGGTTTTCTTCCTCCGGCCATTCGATCCAAGGACCTGCAATGGATGAAACACAAGGGGGTCATGAAGGGAGCTCGAGGGGGCAATGGATGAAACACAAGGGGGTCATGAAGGGGGCTCGAAGGGGCAATGGA